CGGTGCCGAGAGACGGGCCCCCCGACCGCGCACCGCCGTGGCGGCACCGCGTCGAGGGGGCGCAGGCCCGCCGCACGATTTAGAGGGGCCCAGGGACACACAAATAGATACACACACACACAAATCCCAGGATTCCCCATATTTTTCAGCATTGTCTGGGTTCTCGTCTTCCCCCCGCCATTGTCCATATTCTCCAAAATGTCCGTGGGCATCGGCGATGAACTGCCTGTGTTGTTTCCCCTCCTGACGCTTCGTCTCTCTGCCCGACTTGCCCCCCCGCGGGAGCGTGGCCTGTGCTGTTCTCCTTCCCTTGGCGTTCACCGCGAGTCCTGCGAGGGTGAGGCAGCGGCGGGCTGCGTCGAGGAGGCGAGAGAAGGAGAGAAGCCCGGACGAGGATGACATCGGGTGAGGAAAGATCGAGAATCTCCGAGAGCCGGCGGCTCTGGAGGATGTCTCGGGCGCTGCGGACTTCTCGGAAAGTTCCAGAACGCTCTGGGAGCATTCCGAGACGCTCTGGAACATATTTACAATAGGGGCTCGTCCACAAGAAACTTGCCACAAGAAACCCAACCCTGGATCCCCGAGATGTCCATTGATTGATTATATGGGGACGTCACGTTTTCAATCGTAGAACCATCAAAATCCAAGAAACCCAGGCCACCCTGGAGGCAAGCAGGGTGTGTCTTGGCATTAGTTTCCACTGTATCCTCGTCCTAACCCAGTCAAAGAAAAGGCGGACATGGCAACATCCCAGCTCTCTGGCACTGCGAATGGATCGTGACCGCCAATTTCCCGATTTGGGGGCCTTTGGAGGCCAGCTTCAGTAGGGGGCGCGCAAACATGGATTAGCGATCCATGGATTTGGCGCGCGGTCGCCAAATCCATGGATCGGGGGAGGTGCCCCCCCCCAAAATGCGGCCGGTGCCGCCTCGCCCGGCGGCGGAAACCTGCGATCTCCCATGGAAACGGGACCCGTCGTTAATCCACGCCCCTTTAATCCATGTTTGCACTCGCCTGATTCAGGGCATTCACACCATCAGAAAACAACCAGGGATGGAAACACGCTCCCAAGGAAATGTTCGAGAGGTCTGGGGGCTCGCGTCTTGAGAATGCGTGGCGTCCTGGCGATTGTGCTGGGCCAAGAGAAGCTGGAAAACAGGGGCTGGCGAGGCCCCAATTGGCGGCTCACCTGGCATATCCCCCACGCTGTTTGGGCGCATGTGGCTCAGGGCACGAGCTAATTCCCAAATCCTTCTTCCATTTCGGTGAAAAAGTTGCTAGTTCACTCAAGGACAGGGCCGGAAGTGTTAATTCCCCTCGTCCTCGTCCTCCTCCTCTTCCTCCTCCTCCTCCTCCTCCTCCTCCTCCTCTTCCTCCCTCCCCCCCATCCTCCTCCTCCTCTTCCTCCTCTGCGTCCTCTTTCTACTCCCTCGTCCTCCTCCTCCTCCCCCTCCTCTTCCTCCTTCTTTTCCTCACTGTTGTTTCCAATGCCATTATTCCCTGTCGGATACATGTTGCACCCCCCTCACCCCCACACCGCAGCACTTCCCCCCTCGCCTGTGGTCTGGACATGCACTCGCTTCGGGGGAGGAGCCGACGATCAGGGCGCCTGGCATGAGGAGACCCCGAGCGTCGATCAGGCCCTATGGAACAGCAGAGCCGACATCTGGCGGTGCATGCGGCAAATGGGTCAACGTTGACCAGCGCCCACGACCTACCCGTGGGAGGCTGGCGGCGCTCATCCTGGGTCCTGGCGGCAACGCACCTGGGGTAGAAGGTGAGCCCTACGAGGTCTACCACGCCGGGGTTATCTTTGTGGCGTGCTTTTTGGCCATCCCATGGTACACCGCTGAAACGGACCCGATCCTGCTGGAGACGGTCCATGGCCCTTCGGTTGGCCTGCTGATATAGATCCATACCCCGACGCTGAGAGGCCGAATGACCTGCAGCCTCTCCAACTTCCCGCCTGAATCAGGCGCCTGTTCGGGGCATCCCTGGCCGACCTCCTGGGGCCGCTAGTTGAGCCTCAGCTCACACCAGACCAAGCGGCCAAGAGGGGAGGGCAATGCGGGCCTCTTATGAAAGCCGCTGTCGCCCACCTTCAGGCACCCGCCGGGAGAGCACACGCCCCTAGACCTGCTTGGGCCGCGCTCCTGGGTCGCCACACCCGCGTGGTGGACGCGTATATCAGGGAGGCCCTCGAGCACGTAGGCCCGCCTCCGACGTCCGCTGTTCTGATCCAGAACTGCAGAGGTTCGCTGCCTTGCGGCGCCGTTTGGGGCTACCCAACTGGCTCCAACACGCCTTGCTCGCCTTGGTGGTGGACAGGGACGCACAGACGAGAAAGCGTCGGTACACTGGGTCACGCCACATACTGCTGCGCTCCAGTGGCATTGGAGGCACGGCCTCGCCGCTACTCTGGCGCATGGCCTACGACCAGGTCATCGAAGCCACGGCAGCTGCAGCGTCTAGCCGCTGCTGCACGTACGCTGACGACCTCGCAGAACTCCTAGATGCGGCTGAATACGCTCTGTGCATATCTATCCTGCTGACTTGGGCCTCCTTTCGCTGCCCCAAGCGACCTGACGGCCTCGACGGAGAGCTGGCGGCGACGCCTATGAACGCCCTGGTTTCTCCAGACGGGCACCCGGTCGTCACTTGGACGCCCGACTTATCTGGGACAACTGCTGTCCGAGGTAACTCCGGTTTGGGGCACCGAGGCGCGAATCTGCAGTTACCCCTGACAGCCCGCCGCCATGATGACTCAGGAGGGTTGGACGCCAGAATTATCCGGGATAACTGCGGTCCGGGGTAAATCCGGTTTGGGCCCCCGAGGCGCGAACCAGTAGCTATCCCTGACCGCCCCCAGCCCTGACGATTCGGAGCTGTGGCTCACTGGACTCCCCAGATCTGACCAGGCGCATCATCGAGCATGACCTGGGCCCGGGCGCCGTTGCCGGCGCATGGGTGTGGCGGCAGGACTGCCCGTGCTCCTTCAAGACGGCCATGGTTCCCAGCATTGCTCCAGACTGATGGAGACAGGCGATGGTTGCTTCGACGTTCGGCAGCTTCTGTGTCAAACTACAGTGGCCGTACCAAAGTCACGGTCCAGCCGCTCCCAGAAGAGGTAGTCTCACCGCTGCCCAAATCAACACTATGGTCAAAGCACGGGGGAAGGCGACCAGTAAAATGAGGACACGTTGCATGATGCGCACGCCTCCCCCAGGCGACGTGCTGCTGCCTGGAACGCCTACATCGCATCGGTCGTGCCTTACCTGCTGCACTACATCGCCCCCTCACCCCAGCTTCAAAAGACCATGATCTCAAGTGGGCGCCAATTTTCGTCTTTACCAGCCTTGGCACGCAATACCAAATCCCAGGCTGCCCGCGATGCCCGGTCGCGGCCGCGCTGGCACCCTCCAGACGAGACGTTCGGGGCCCTGTTCCCGACCGGCGCCAGACACTCACCGGGCGGCCGCTGTCGCCCGGCGGCAAATGGGTCAACCTGCAGCCCCACTGGGCACGCAGCTGGGCAGGGGCCCTCTACGTTGCAGCTTGGGCCCAGCAGCATGAGGACGACCTCCGCACCTGGCCTCGCGCCGCCAGCGTTCGGCGGCGCTGGTCACTTGGGCAGGGGCAGGAATGGCAGTTCTTGGCTCATGCCAGATGCTTTACTGCTGCTTTCCACGTGCTCATATTCCTGGCCAACAATATACCTGGGCATGCGAGATGGCGAGAAGCCCAGGACAGGTTCCTCATCAGTGCAACCGGTGCAAGCGCTTGGGAAATGCAGTTGGCACACGTCGTCTGCAGCCACCCGGGACAGCGCTTAGTGCAGGCAACGCATGGGGTCCTGGGGAAACACGACGGCTCTCTGGGCTACGCTATCGGACGACTGCATCCCAGACATATTGAAACCCCTGGGCAGGGACGTTCGCAGGGGTCGGACAAAACTGGCTCGGGCACCAGAGATCACCCCAAGCCCATATTGATGCTGCCCCCTATGTGGTTGGGGTGAAGCGACCAACGAACACCTGTGGCCTGGTGTGTTGCTGCAGCCTGGCTCTTGGTGCGCCCCGATGGAACTTCTCCGATCCTCGCCGATGCCGTGATGCAGCCCCGACCGCCCCCGTCCTGTGTGTCATGCTCCACCACCTGGCATACCGCCACACGCTTGCCCTGGGACACGCGCCGCTCGACGCTGACACGGCTGCCAGCTTGATCTGATCTGGCATGGTCGTTGACAGGATGGCGGACAGCCGAGACGACTTGCCAGCTGATGACCTGCTCCCGTAATTACAGCGGGCCTGACGTCGCGGACGTGTGGACTAGGGCCGCGGATGCGCGTCCAGAATGTATGCCACTCGCGCTTGTGGACCGGGTTCAAGGGTCCGAACGACCTGACCGCGTGGCACCAGGCGCGCTCAGTGGGCTGGGGGAGAGTCACCAAAGCTGCTGGTAATCACCGCAGCCACGCCGGCCGGCACTCCTTTGTTGCTGCACCTACGCTGCGACAAAGATGCAGGAGGCTGGCTCCGTGCAGGACCAGTTTGGCTTCCATGTCCCCGTATTTGGGACGACGAGCCCACCGTCAGATGGGACGAACGCTTCTACCGCACCTGTAGACAGCCAACACTGCGAGTCCCTACTGGCAACGCGTGGCATGGATCCCCAAGCTGTGGTTGTCGCTCCGCGCTCGTTGCTTCCCGGATCAGGACCGCACCCACTTTCTTATAGGTGATATTCGACGGAGGGGCACGGTCTATCGAAGACCGTGCCAAGGTCGTCGGCGCGGGGGCCACCCTGTAGCGGCACGACCCAAACGGAGGCCCCTCCCGTGCGGCCCGCATCACGCGTCATTGCTATCCCTGGCTCTGACAATGCTCAGCTTGCAGAGGCGACCAGGCGCTGGGCAGGGCGATAACTTAACCGCCGACCGATGCGGCACGGGCACGGGGCTTTATCGGCGCTTTCCCTTGGCCGCGCAAGTGGGCCTAGGCCTGCGGCCCCTCGCTGAACGAGGGTGGGCGCAGGCCGTGGGGCGGCGGCCCAACGTCGCCAGCGACCGACTGGTCACGCTCGGGGTCTTCTGGGCGGACTGCCTGCGCCAGGCGGGCGGCGCGGCCGCCTCAGCCTGGGCGATCTGGCACGGCCGCACCGGCCCCTCCCAACAACCCCCCCCCCCCGCGACCTCTCTCCCGCCCAGGGCCGCAACACCCTCGACCCCGCGACTCTCTGCAGTGGCGGAGGCGCTCGGCGCAGGAGCTGACCAGGAAACCGGGCGACTCAAGGAGCTTTCGCTGGCTGGCCTTCCCGCCCAGCCGCGTGACCCGCAGAGGCCCGCGCGGGGCGCCGACGGCAGGCTCGGGTTCAAGTGCCGCCGAGCCGCCCTCATGCGTTGGGTCAAATCCTAGAAATTTCTGGGGCTGGTACTGCGAGATCTGCCAGAAGGGCGCGGTGGATAATGTTGACCTTCTATCTGCGGCCTCCTGGACCCGCAGGTATGGTGCCAAGGTGGCATCCTGTGAGCATATGTGGGCCATGACCGCAGATGCGTCCACCCCAGACACCCCTCGCTCGCTTCACGTGCCCGGGCTGGACGGTTTTGACCAACCTGGCGATCGTCGACGGGCATCTCCGGGACGACTGGGACTACTACGACAAGGACTGGGACGGAGCTCCGATCTGATGCCCACCGACCGCGGCAGCCCTGCAGTGGGCGCCCCCGCCTGGCGATCCAGCCGACATCGACGTCCGTGACTCATGGCGCGGCTGGGGCACTGAGGACGCCAGCCTGGTCGACGCCCACCGAGCCGCCACACAAGCTGACCGTGCGCGCGCGGTACCACCAAGTGCAAGCCCGCAAGCCGCTGCCGTCGGTGCCAGCTCTAGGGACCCGCCCCGCCCCAGGGCGTCACTAGGTCCAGGCCGCCAGACCTGCCTTGGGCAGGGGACGCCTCCAAATCGGAATGCATGCTGGTCAAGCAAGGATGTCCACCATGCCCACTGTTACATAAGCAGTAGGTATCGGCCCTGTCGCATACGAACAGCACTACATTGGAAGGATGTACGATTGATCTGCATTTCCAGCTTTGTTAAGGACGAAGAATTTGCTGACGACGTAACGCAATCGAATCCAAGTATTGTAAGTGCTGCGAGAAGTCTTCGTGCTACGGCCCACTGAGGTTCACTCTGTGCTTATGATGGTTTCCGTCCGCACTTCACTTCCACCCCCAGCAGCAACTGCTGGTCGGCCCAAGCCCCAGGGACGGCCGCTCCCAGCGGGAAGGGTTGCGCCAACAAGGGCTTACAATAGCAGCGCTACCCGGGAGCGCCAGGGCGAGCTCGAGGGCGGCGTAGCGGCTCGATTCTGGGTCACCCGTCAGCGCCCGCCGCCTGCCTGCACCGAGCCCTCCGGCGCCATGCACCAGCGCCCTGCCCGGCCAGCAGCGACGCCGAACCTGGCCAGCAGCGTCCGACGGCCGCCGCGTTGCCGGCGTCGCCATTGCCTGCTGCGGCGGCTGCGGCCCGCCACGCGTCGGGCGTGCAGCAAGAGCAGCGCGAGCGCAACAAGCAATTCAGCTGTGACAAGCACGACGGAATACATCAGCACCACTCGAAGTAGCGCCAGCGCCACCAACACTGGCTCTCTGAGTAGCGCGACAGAGACGAGCACCGCTACGCGCAGCAGCATCAGTGCCACCAGCGCCACCAACAGCAACCAGCAACACCAGCAGCGCCACCAGCAGAAGTGCAGCAATGTGACCAGCACTAGCGCCACTGAAGTACCAACGCGAGAAACACCATGCGTAGCACTACTAGCACCAGGAGCAGCACCAACGCGACCAACACGACAGGAAGCAACAGCACCACGCGCACCAACACTAGCGCAACTAGCGACACCAGCGTGACCCGCCCAACGGCAGCAAGCAGCAAGCGTAAACAGCAATACCTTTGTGACCGGCACGACGGGAAACAGCAGCAGCAAGCGCAGCAGCACGAACGCCACCAATAGCACCAGCGTGACAAGCAGGACGGGAACCAGCAGCGTCCCGCGCAGACGCCACCACCAAACCCACTTGGACCAGCAGGACGGGGCACAGCAACACTACGCGCACCAACACAAGCGCAACAAGCAGTACCAGTGTGACAAGCATCACCAGATGCAGCAGCCTCACGCGAAGCAGCAATACCAGCGCCTCCAGCGGCACCAGAGTGACCAGCACGAAGGTGCGCCGCAGAGCAACTAGCAGTACTACCAGCGCCACCAGCAGCACCGCTGTGACAAGCCCGACGGGAAACAGCAGCACTTCTCGCACCCGCAGAGTTGCAACGAGGAGTACCAGCGTGAGGAGCGATCACTGAAGCAATAGCACTGCGACCAGCACGACGGAAAGCACCAGCACCATGCGCAGCACTGCTAGCGGCAACAGCAGTGGCCGCGGATGGGGCCGCGATCCTCTAGCTTGCGCAGCCCACAAGCTTGTGAAGCTGCGTCTTTCCCTGTGGCGAAAAAAAGGTGATCGCAATCAAGATGTGGTTGGCGTCCCAGCGATGGTACTATCTAGGTGGGAACGGCATTCCTAGTCAAGTGAGCGGCTGGCACCGAAGCGGCAGACGCGATGACAGCATTCGCTATCATGTTTTCGAGCAACGCCGGCGAGAACAACAATCCGAATCGAGAATGCGGCCCGCGCTAAGGCGAGAACACCAATCGCAGTTATGCCCGCGGCCAGCGCCTAGGCGAAAGCGCTATTGTAAATCAAAGATGTGGCCGGTGCCACAGCGAGAACGACATGCTCAACGAAGGATGTCGCTGGCGCCTAGGCGAGAACAGCATTATCGATCAGACATGTGGCCCACGCAGAAGCGAGAACGAAATATTCAATGAATGATGTCGCGGGCGCCAAGGTGGCAACAACATGATCATTCAGGGATGTGGCTGGCGCCGTGGCGAGAACGGCATGATCAATGAAGGATGTCGCCGGCACCAAGGCCACAGCAACATGGTCAATCAGGCATGAGGCCCACGCACAAGCGAGAACGACATGCTCAATGAAGGATGTCGCCGGCGCCTAGTCTGCAGCAACATGTTCAATAAAATATGTGGCCCATGCACAGGCCAAAGCATCATTCCGAGGCAAGCGTGTCGCCAGAATGCAGACGTCACGTCACGCCCATTCCGCGCAGGCCGGGCTCGGTGTCACGGAGGTCCGACTGACGTTAGGTGGGTAGTCCACGTTAGGGGGGGTGTACACGGCCACCACGTCCCTGCGAAGATCGGCTGAGATGCGCGGGCAGTGATGTGTTTTCGCTTGGGCATGCCTAGCCAGCTCGACCAGTGTCGTATTGTCGGGGCGCTGCATGATGACAGCCAGGTTTAAGTCGGGCCTGTCCCCCACAGGCCGATTTTGGACGACAAATTACAAATACACAAAACATACACAACAAAAAATCAAAAATGGTAAAGAAAAAACAAAGGTCCCCAGACTATCTTCTTACTATTCTTGAATATTCCCCCTGTAGAGGGACAGGCCCGACTTAAAGCCAAGTGGAGGTCCAGTTCTTGAGCCGAGGGTCGTTCCAGCACGCGGGCGCGCCAGCTCCGGCGTACCCTGTGCCGGCGCCCGCGTCCCCAGCGGCGGGCCCAGGCAGGCGGGGTGTCCCGCCCGGGATCTTGGACGACCCGCTCGTGCTGGCGTCGGCCCACGGCCAGGCTCGACCGCCTTTGGGCTCGTGGCGGGCCCGCCTTGGGTCAGCTGATGCGTCTCCGCGCGGACGCTGCCGAAGGTTCCAGGCCGCGGACTGCGGTCTGCGCGTGCTCGCGAGCTTTGGCTGTGGCATGGGGGCTTCTCCCTGAGCTCCGTCTCTATCTTCCCAGCGCCTGCTGTGAGGGGCAGCGGGTGGCCTCCCCCCCTTCTTCGGAATGCACCGCGAGCCCCGAACGGTCGCGCACCAGCGACCGGGAACGCACAAGCAACCTGGTTGCTTGTGCGACCAGGAAAACACAACGCTACCGAGCGACGCGCCCCCGCGAGTCTCACGGGCTGCCCTGCTCGCCTGGCCAAGCTTTCCAGCCTGGCGGTAGCCTTCCAGCCAACAAGGCCCGGATCACCCTTCCGTCCCAACTTCCCGAGACTTGGGATCGCAGGGCCTCGTTAGCTTCCCATCGTAGCCCCCTGGCACCGCTCTCCCTGAGCCCCCATGCAGACCCGCAAGCTCCTCCCCCTCCACAAACCTCCCTCCCCCTCCCTCCGTCCTCCCCCCCCCTTCACCCCTCTGCCTCTCCCCGATTCGTCGCCACATCCTCGTGCCTCCCTGCCCTCTCTTCCAACAGCAAGCGTCGACGACGACGTCGTGCGACAGCATCCCAGGAAGAAGGCTCCGGCGGCCGGCGGCCGGCGAAGCCTTCGCGGAGGGCCGCGGCGGCAAGAAGAGCCTGAGGGTAGGGGGGTAGATGGCGTCCTTCCTCACTTTTCTTCCCGCTCCTCGTTTCTCCTCCTCCTCCTCCGCCTCCCGCGTTATCCTCCCTCTACCATCCCGTTTTCCTCCCTCCTTCTCTTCCCGAGGACCAAGACAAGAGAAGGGGAAGGTGGCAAGCTAGGTGCGCTCGCGCCACATCTGACATCCTACCCCTCCCAACCATCACTTCCCTTGCCATAGCGCTGACTCATTCTCTGTCCGACGACGGGTATCATAGAGACCCCATCGTAATCTGTGCAAGCTGAACGGGGTAACTATGTACACTGTAGGAAGAGCAGGAGGAGGTGGTGGACAAGCTGGAGCATGAGCAGGAGGAAAGGGGAGGAGGACGAGGAAGGAGAAGGACGAGGAGGAATGGCAGCTGCAGGAACAATAATAGAAGTGGGATAAGCAGAAGGACCAAGGTTAGCCGGAGGAGGGGAACGGAGCGGTGAGGCAACGATGATGAACGACTCGGATCCAGAGAAGTGGCCCGCGCTGGGCCGATAGTGCAATTCTGAACGACGCGAGCAGATGGCCGACTTTCAAATGAGGCGCATGCTGCAGCGGGCACGCCATTCTGAAACACCGGGAGCGCTCCGATGGACAAAAAAAACACAGTTCAAACGAACAATTAGCCTTGCGAAAGACCCAACCATATGCAGTTGTGAGTGCCGCAGTCGTGAGGATCGTCTTCGGTGGAACTCCCTATGGGGCCATAGAACGTGTGAGGGGCGTGCCGATTTGGGGAGGGGGGACAGGGGGGGGCGCATGTGAACCCTCCCACTGGAAGGATTCAATGGAGCTCAACATCTGGCCACGAAACGTGTGAGGGGTGTGCCGAAACGGGCGTGATGCCCACATGCGAACTGCGCCACTGTGACCTTCGGTGGAGACCCCTACGGGGTCACGAAACGTGTGGGGTGTGCCGAAACCGGCGTGACGCCCACATGCGAACTGCAACATTGGGACCCTCGGTGGAGCCCCATTACGGGGACACGAAAGTGTGAAGGGTGTGCCGAACGGGGAGTGATGGCGTGATGATGATGATGACGATGGAGGATAGAGGAGGGGGACGAGGAGGAAGAGGAGGAAGGACGCGGGGTACTGTCTGTTCAAACAGATGGCCCAAAACAACAGGATGGGTGGGAATGTTGAAATACTGTGCGAAAAGCAATGCCTGGAACGGCCAGAATATGTTCAGCACGCAGTGGCAGAGAGGATAATGGTATTAATGCTGAGTAATCCCACCAACCCTTCGGGCGTAGGTGGTCCAACGGATTCTTTCTTTCCGCTTCCAAAGCCCTCTTCGCTTCGGGGAGGGGTCGCCTCCCCCTCCCCTCCCCGAGGTTTTTTTGAGGGGGGGACGCGATGTGTCGAGGATCCTTTTTCGCCCAAGATGGTTCCAGGAGGGCCTCCGATGCTCCAAGAGAACCTGCACGGCGGCTCAAGACAGCGGAAGACGGTTCAAGATAGCTTCCAGCAGACCTCAGCGAGGCCCGATGAGGGCCACAAGACGGTTCCAAGTGCTTTCGGAGCCCCCTCGTGACCCCCCAAGAGGCTAAAAGCCCTAAAACAACTGAGGGAAATGTATGAGTGTTGCCTTCTCGCCTTTTCGTGTTCGATGCTCCTTGGAAGCCTCAAGATGCCCCAATGTGGCCCAAGAGAGCCCCAAAAGGGGCCCAAGAGGCACCGACAACTGCCCTCGAGGGAAAGTTAGGACCCCCCTCTTTTGATCGATTGCCTTCAAAATGGCCCCAAAGGGCCCCAAGAGGGCCCCCAGACGGGCCCAAGAGCGCCCAAAATCGCCCCAAGAGCGTCTCATGAGGGCCCCAAGAGGCGGTTTGCCTCCATCGTCTCCTCCTCCTCCTCCTCCTTCTCCTCCCCTCGCCCCTCTTCTCCATGGATCAGCCGAACCTCGTTTCACTGTAAGTGTCTCTTCGTCCCTTTTGCCGTCAACTTTCATTGACAGGGTTTCTGAACGGACTGGTGGGGATACTTTTCCGTCGCGGCCGCGGGCGAAGGCGCCGACGGCGTCAGCAGAATGAGCTCAGGCTCCGAGCACCTAATTGCCGGCGCGCGCGCCGAACGGGCAAGACCTACCGCCGAGGGAAGCAGCCGCGCCGGGGCTGAGCTGCGCCGGGGGGGGACTGCCAGCTGCGGAGGGAAGCCGCCGGGATGCTGCAACGGGCGTGAAGAAATGTAAAGGAAAGCCGAGGGGGAAGGAGCGGATGGGGGAAAGCGGGATGGGAACACTCTGAACAAAAAGGTGCACGACAACGACAAGAACGACAACGAGGGCGACGAAACATAACAAATAGAAGGAGCAGCAGCAGCAGGGCCTATACCTCTGACATTGTGGTTTTGTTTTTGGCGTGTGCTCCCAAATTCACGACCCCTTCCACGTGGCCAACTTTTCACCCCCAGTCCTTTCTCTGATAGCCTGGGGCCCGAAACTGGCCGTCGCAAGATTTCGGCGACGCTCGATCTGAAGGATTCTTAAGTCCCTTGGACGTCTCTGGAGGCCTTACGGGCAGAGACCCCTAGGAGGCCACCAGAGGCTCATGGACTCTGGATGCTCAAGAAGAGCAGGCAAACTGCAAATCGCACGGCAACTGCACAAACTGGCCTCTGACACCGCGCATGCGCTTCGATCTTGAGCAATCGCGGCTTTCCGATAGCGCAGGTCGCCGCGTCAACTTATCAGTGTCGACGCCGCATCTGGGAAACCAAGAAGTACCTATACTACTGCTCCCCAGACCACTCCATGGGTTGCAATCTGACCAGGAATTCGAGGCGAATCAGCGGTGTCCCGGGAAGTGGAAAACGAGGGAGGGGTAGCGGTATCGGTACCTGTTCCTCCCCTGAGCACCAGCGCGTCCACAATGCGTCGACGCGAACACCCGCGCTGGGGCCACCGCCACGCCACCGCGGATTGAAAACCTGCCGCAGATGCGTCGAGCGGCAAGTTCGCGGCCGCGGCAGGAGCCACGCCGCTGCTCCGCGGACCTCTCCCAGGGTGTGCTCTGATCAGAACTTCGAGAACCTCGAGGACACCATACGGATACCGCTGCCCTTCCCTCGATTTCGCCTGTAGGGCCTCCTCTGAGGCCCTCGTCGCCACCGCCTGGATTCGCCTCTAAATCCTGGCCGGAACGCGCCGCGAGAGAGGTCCAGGGAGCATCGGTTATCGGTACATTTTCGTTCCCCCCGGGAGCCCAGGCATGACGACAAGACCTCTCGAGGACAAGCGGGGGAGGTCGAGGTAACGGCAGCTCACAGTGGGTCCCCGGGCCCTTCCCGGGGTCCAAGCGCATCAGTTTTCCGAGCTCAGTCCAGCCGTGACTACGACGAGGACGAGGACGAGGACGAGGAGAAGGAGGAGGGTGAGGAGGAGGAAGAGGGGGAGGAGGAGGAGGAGGAGGAGGAGGAGGAGGAGGAGGAGGAGGAGGAGGAGGAGGAGGAGGAGGAGGAGGAGGAGGAGGAGAGGAGGAGGAGGAGGAGGAGGAGGAGGAGAGGAGGGCCCCCGAAGGCCAAGTGCAGCTGTCTCAGCTCGCCCTCGTAATTGTGATGCTCCCAGCGTCTTGACCGCCGCGCTTCCACGACCACCCCCGCGACGGCCGGGAGTCAGGGGCCAAGCGCGCGGCCTGGAAGATGCAGCGGGCCGCCCGGGCATCGCCACCAGAGGCCCTCCCCGGCGCACCACTGGGGCGGTGAACGACAAATCGCGCTCGCGGTGCGGCAGCGGCGGCCGCGGCGTCGGCGGCGGTCGTAACGGGAAGCCGCGGCCGCGCGGGGTAGCGAAGTCGCAGTGGTGGCGGCGGCCGCGGTGGTGGTCGTGGTGGTGGTGGTGGTGTCGGCGATGGCGGGCCAGGCGGCGGCAGTGGCGGTGACCCCAGCACGCTAAGATAGAGATCGCGACTGGGGGAGGAGAAGGATCAGCAGCAGCAGCAGGAGGGGAAGCAGATCAGCAGACAACAAAAAAACGGCAGCATGAAGCGGGAATCTGCCGACCTCCTCTAACCGGGGGCGAAACAACGCCTAAGAATTTTGGTTGTCCCTCTCCTCATGACTCCCCCACCCCCAGGGCCCCAAATCCCGTTAGACGGGCGGGGGCAAGAGCTCCTCAACGCTCTCCTGGGCCGTCAGGACCTCCAACCCACCCCGCTACACTTGTAATGCTCAAGATGCCCCGAAGACGCCCCAGGAGAGCTCTGGCAAGTCCAGAAAGCCTCAAAGAAAAACTCAAAAAGACCTCAGAACCCCCAAGACAACCCAAAGAAGGCCAAGAAAATGTTCCGAACATCCAGAATCATCATAACAAAAGTCCGCCTAAGAAACAAAACCGATCCAGGAAATCGTCAGGCTCCTGTTGACTTGCGCGGAGCCCGATGATCGAATCGATATGTTTGATCACGCGCGGGACAAGCCGCAAGACGTAAAAAGTCGCGGCGAGGGCAAAAAGTGGATCGGCAGTGGGCCTGCTGAGACGCATTGAGAGCACAGCGGCGGATCCCCAAAGGGTAGAAAGCGTGGCACCGTCCATCCATACACACAAACACCTACAAACACGGGTACACAATCTTTTGGCGTCGCGGCCACGCGCGCAGCGACAGGGCGTAGAAGGTCGAAACGCAGCAGCCGCGCGCGTCCAAGCTCGCCCGAATCTTCAGAGACCAGCTAGGGTCCCGCAGCCGCCGGCAGCCCAAACCGTCCAGGCATGGATCGCAAGGGGGTCAGTGAAAAGATGAGAAAACAATGGAATGAAAAGTGCCGTAATCCAACCAGGTCTGAAGGCGGGGGGAGCGAGAAAGCAGGATGAAACCAAACACGCGCACACATACATACGTATTTCGGTCGTCCTCGGGCGAGCGCATCGCCGTGCCGTCACAAACAACCCACGTGCCCACGTGCTAATGGGTCAAGGAAGTAGCTGGGCCCTCACTGGGCGGTGGCGTCAGCGGTCGCGGGGCAGCGGCCGCAAGGCGGCGGGGGGGGGAGCCGGGCGCAGGGCGCGAAGCAGCGGGGCAGCGGAGCGAGGCGATCGACGCCGAGACTCCGCGGGAGAAGGGGCCCGCCAAACTTCTCCGAGCGGGAGGCAGGCCGCCAGAGATGGCGGACGGAAAGAGGCCCGCAGCGGAGGACAAGGCAGGGGGGGGGGGGGGGGGCCGAGGCGGGGCGGCGGCGCGAGGGCCGAGGCAGGGCGGGCGGAGGAGCGAGCCGCAGGAGCGGCGACGGGAAGCGGCGGGGAGGCACGAGGGCTGGGGCGGGACGGGCGGAGCACAGACGCAGACACAAACGCACACACACACACAAACACACACAGACACACACACACAGTCACACACACAAACGCACACACACACAAACACACACAGACACACACACACAGACACACACACACACAAACGCACACAAACACACCCAGACACACACACAGACACACACACAGACACACACACACAGACACAGACACAGACAGACACACAAACACACACACACAGACACACACTTTTCATTGGGCGCCGCGGACCTGCGCGCGGCGAGACGGCGAAGAATGTCGTAAAGCAACAACCCGCGCGCGCGACTAGGAGCGCCCGGGCCCTCAGAGACAGCTTTGGGTCTTGCAGCCGCTGGCAGCCGTAAGCCATGCGGGCATGGATGGCAGGGGGACGGTGGGTAGATGAAACTATGGTGCGGCCAGGGTGATATGAGCCATCTGGGACCGGAAGGCGGGGGGAGCGAAGAAGCAGCGCAGAACGACCAGGAGACCGAGGCCGACCTGGAAGCCCAACGAGGGCGGAGGGGGCACGAGCCTACGGGAGGCAAATTCCAACGCCAGCCAAGGCAGGCAGGGCACCAGCAGCGAGGAGGTCGAGGCAGACCTGGCAGTGACGGCGGCGAGGGGCGCAAAAGGGGCACTGCAGGCGCCGAGAGGACGAGGAAGGCGGCGCCCGGCCAGCAGGGGAGCCAAGGCACAGTGCACGCACACATGACGAACACACGCACACACAACACAACACAACAAAACACAACACAGCACCGCACAGCACAACGCACCACAACGCATACAAAGACGCACACACACAACACATACACGCACATGACAAACACACGCACACACACAACACACAACACAACAAAACACAACACCGCACAGCATAGCACAACGCGACGCAACGCATACAAAGACGCACACACACAACACACAAACACACGCACAAACTTTTGGGCGATCGCGGCCTCGCGTGCGGCGTCGATGCGGAGAACGGCGCGCGCACACGCGCACACACACACACACACGCACACGCACACACATACACACACACACACACGCACGGGCACGGGCACAGGCACACACACACACACACACGCACGCACGTACGCATACACATGTATATACTGTATACATATGTGCCCATCAGCGTCGCGGCCTGCAAGTACCCATCCAAGCGGTCCCGTGCTTAGTGGGCCCTGGAAACGACAAGGCCGTTTATGTTACCGGTTCCGTTTTGCATTTTTTTGGCCGGTTCCGACGCCGTTTTTTACCGGTTCCGTCGCCGTTGTTTGACTGGTTCCGGCTCCGGTTCCAATCCTGGAACCGTTTTGTTGCCGTTTCTGGTCGCCGTTTTTTTCCCGTTTCCATTTTCAAGAAACATTTTTTGGGAAACGGTGAGAAAACGGGCCCTGCCGTTTCCGGGGCCCACTAAGGTCCCGTGGCTTTGGCTCATGCAAACTGGACTCGAAAGCGACAAGCCAGACCTAGCTGAAACAAAGTCAACAATGACTACGAGCGCAAACCGGGAGACACACAGAGACACACACACACACACACCTCCTCCTCCCTCCCTTCCCCCTCCTCCTTCTCCTCATCCTGGTCCCCCCCCAACCCTCTCTGGCATGAGGGACACGGGTCTCGGGGAATACGGGCTCTGGGCCCTTCGAGCTTCGAACAATTCCAGCTTCTCATCCCGAGTCGCTCTGTCGCTGTCGGGCCTGGGCCTGGGGAGCGCCTGGGACGAGCCACGAGATGGCGACAAGTAACGAGAACTATACAGGCGAGAGGACACAAGACCCTTCCGAAGGCCACATTGCCACAGGAATGTGGGAATCATGGGTCGCGAGACACAGGACACAAGGATACCCTTGATTTGGCAGTGTCGACCTACTAATCTGGGCCGACTGTACAGGGCCTCTTTCCCTCGGTAGAGGCCATGGAAGCAGGAAACATGCTGTACATGTAAATGTTGAAGATCCGCGCTGACTTCTTGTATGTGCGCTGGGCCCCCTCCCTGGCGCGCGGAGCGCGCCAGGGGCGGCGCCGGAAGCGCCGCCAGGCGCCGCCGGAGGCCTGGAGCGTCGGAAGCTTATGTTCATAGCACTTTCTCCTCTTCGAGGCACGCAAGTGGCAGATAGCCCAAGGGCCCGCGATACGCACATTCGCCGGGAAGCCTCTTGGAAGCTGTGGGCGAGCGGGGCCCCTGGATACGTGCAGTGCCCCCCCCCCCCGGGCTATCCGCCCCTTTTGCCGGCGCCGCTTCCCTGGCGGCCCCTCCCCGCTGCAACCGGCGCGCGGCCATCCCCCGGTCCCCCCCTCCTCATGAGCAGCAGCGTCCGCTGGCCGCGCCCCTGGCGATCCGCGCTGGCAGGCGCCGTCGTCGTCGCCGCCGCAGTAGTCGCCGCTGCCGTCGTCGTCGTCGTCGTCGTCGTCGTCGTCGTCGTCGTCGTCGTCGTCGTCGTCGTCGTCTCGTCTCGTCGTCGTCGTCGTCGTCGTCGTCGTCGTCGCCGTCATCGTCGCCGTCGTCGTGGTCGTGGTCGTCGTCGTTGACAACGTCGTCGTGGCCGTCGTTTATCGGGGGTCGAGGCTAGAGGATGTGGCTCATGAACTTAGTTTTTCGAACGTGCTTCAACCGGTCTTGGACTCGAGGGGCGTCATCGTAGCCTCGAGTGCATCCGCCCAGAAATCTGGACAGAATGCGCTCCAGGACAGGTCCTAGGCTGGTCGTCGTCGCCTCCGTCGTCGCTGTCGAGGCGCTCCGAGGCTGCAGGTGGTGAGATCGCAAAGCAGGGTGTCCCTCAATGGGGATAATTGACAAAACAAAACGGGTACACTGGACTCATTCCTATAGCGCTCACTTCTATAGTGCTCACATTCAAGTTGAAGTCCAGAAGGGGCCGCACATGCAGGCACATGCCGCACAGTCGACTGCACATGCCCATGCAACTCCACAGAAGCCTCAACAGCAGTGCCGAACATGCTCGCGCATGCAACCAAGTCCGATACACAGTCGGATACACAGTCTGGCAAAACTCTGAAAACATAAAACGCACATGCGCGCACATGCCGCAGAGTCGAAACATCGGAGGAGGAGGGAGGGACAAATGAGCAGGACAGAGGAATGAGGGAGAAGCGAGGGGAACGAAGGAAGCTAATGCGGCTGGCACTCAAACTGAAACACCATACCCGCATAAGGGATGCACCAATCCAACACAAGGATGGGGCCAGCGCTCCGGCAATGTAGATCACATCATGCGAGGATGTCTCACGCGAGAAGGGCCTGACCTCTTGAGCGCAAGGCATCTCGGAACCCAGAGTTGTGAGGATGTCTTAGGCGAAAGTGGCAGGAGCACCGTAGGGCAAGGCATCTCGGAGGTCAGAGCTGCGGTGGTGCCGCAGGCGAAGGTGGATGGACCGTCTGAGCTCAGGGCATCTCCGAGGCCAGAGTTGCGGAGTTGTCTCAGGCGACAGTGGTCTGACCACCTCAGCGCAGGGCATATCGGAACCCAGAGGTGCGAGGATGTCCCGGGCGAAGGTGGCCAGACCATCATGGGCAAGGGCATCACCGAGGTTCGAACTGTGGGGGTGTCTCAGGCGACAGTGGCCTGACTACCTCAGCTTAGAGCATATCCGATGCCAGAATTGCGAGGACGTCTCTGGCGAAACTGGCCTGCCCACCTTCTCAGGGCATCTCGGAACCGTTGCGAGGATGTCTCACGCGAAAGTGGCTGGACCAGCACGGGGCAGGGCATCTCCGAGGTCAGAGTTGCGGGGATGTCGCACGCGACAGGGGCTTCTCGGAACCCAGAGTTGCGACGATGTCTCTGGCGAAAGTGGCCTGACCACCTCAGCGCAAGACATCTCGGAAACCAGAGCTGCGAGGATGTCGCAGGCGAAAGTGGCCAGACGACCATGTGGCAAGGCATCTCTGGTCACACAAAATTCCGCGGATGTGTAAGGTGATAATGACCGGGCCACCTGAGTTGAGGAACTCCCAAACCATCATGAGGCAGGGCATCTCCGAGGTCAAAGTTGCGGGGATTCCGCGTACGAAAGTGGATGGAGCACCTGAGCTTCAGGCATCTCGGAATCCTGTCCACCCGACCATGGCCTGGCCGGCCCCCGCTTCGTTGCAAGTTCCGCACATGTCCCGCGCAGCCACGCATAGCATTTGCACAGGCCGGGCCAGGCAAAAGCGGCGACTCGGACGGACACCAAGCTCGCGTTCAAAATAAACATGAGACGTCTCGTGAGACAGCGAGGCGCCCCATGGGACAGCACGCCCCCAGAAAACTCTCGGCGCCTCCTTCGGCACAGCCCTCACGCAGACCGAGGCCTGCAAGGACTGTTGGCACCTCGTGTGGGGGCATATCCGAGGTCAGCATTGCGAGGATGTCTCAGGCGACAGTGGCCTTACCGTTCGGGTTCAAAGAACTTCAGAGCCCAGAGTTGCGCGGATGTCTCCGGCGAAAGCGGCTGGATCACCTTGGGACAGGGCATTTCCGAGGTTAAGTCTTGCGAGGATGTCGCAGGCCAGGAAACCCCCACTACCACCTGCCGATGCCTGTCGGCGCCCACGCGCTGGCCGCACAATATTGTAGGCACTGGCGCCAGGCCAGGGCACGCGTATCGCCGCAACTGTGCGTGGAGGCGAGGGTTGGGCGGGAGGGCTGTCGTGCCTGGAGGTATAATGACGACAACAATGAAGTGTATACCATCTGGGACGGGAGGTGGGGGCGGTTTGGGGGGTGAATCTTTACGCGGCTCAGCACCCCCAACCTCTGCACTCGGTCGGGGGCCCGTGCCTCCGCCGCCCCGGCGCAGCGCAGGCCCGTGCCTGGGTGGCTGCATTTTTCGCTGTCTTCCTGTTCGCGGTCGGAGCCCGTGCCCTCGCCGCCGAACGAGCACCGCAAGCCCGTGCCTGGGCGGCTGTTCCTTTCGCGTGCGCGGTCGGAGCCCGTGCCCTCGCCTTTGGGACCCCGCAGGCCCGTGCCTGGGTGGCTGCCGTGAGTAGCGCTCGCAGTCGGGGCCCGTGCCCTCGCCGCAATGCTACCGCCAAAGGCCCGTGCCTGGGCGGTCCCGCCCGTTGCGTACGGTCGGGGCCCGTGCCCTCGCCGCCGAACTACCACCGCAAGACCGTGCTTGGGTGGTCGTTCCGTTCGCGTACGCGGCCGGGGCCCGTGCCCACGGCCCTCCTTCCAGAGCAAGGCACGTGCCCTCGCAAGCAGGCCCGTGCCCGGGGTTCTGGGCCGGGCCTTGTTGTGCGCTCGCCCGAACGCACTGCCACACGATGCGGTTACCGTTTGTGTTTTCACCATGCGTGCAACGCGCTGCGCGCGTGGCACGCCGAGGAGTGACCTGACCACCGCAGGTCAGGGCATATCCGATGTCTGAGTTGCGAGGATGTTTCTGGCGAGGGTGGTCTGGCCACCTGCGCAGGGCATCTCGGAAACCAGAGCTGCGAGGATGTCTCAGGCGAAAGCGGATGAACAACAGGGCATCTCTAAACCCAGAGTTGCGAGGATGTCGCAGGCGACAGTGGCCTGACAGCCTCAGCGCAGGGCATCTCTGAGGTTGCACTTGCGCGGATGTCTCTGGCGAAAGTGACCTGACCACCTGCTCAGGGCATCTCGGAAACCCGAGTGCAGACCACACTGCCAACGTGGGCTGACCACCGCAGGTCAGGGCATCTTGCAATCCAGAATTGCGAGGATGTCTCGGGCGAAGGTGGATGGACCAACTGAGCCCAGGGCATCTCTGAAGCCAGAGTTGCGAGGATGTCTCGGGCGACATTGGCCAGACCACCTCAGCGCAAGGCATCTCGAACCCAGAGTTGCGAGGATGCTTCACGCGAAAATAGCCAGACCACCATGTGACACGGCATCTCGGAGGTCAGCGTTGCGAGAATGCCTCAAGCCAAAGTGGCCTCACCACAATAGGGCACGGCATTTCCGAGGCCAGAGCCTGATTGCCGCGGGAAGCTTTGGCCCCCCCCCAGGCCCCGAAGGTCACGAAACGCTGAAGGCCATTGTAGTAGGGAGCCCTGAAAATTCTGAGAACGCATGTGCGTGCATGTGCATCGGCATGTGCGAGCATGTGCGGGCGCGGGATTCAGCGCATGTGCGTGCATGTGCGGGCCCGCGCTGTCGTCCGCAGGGGGGGGTCACAGGCGAGTGCGTGCATGTGCCACTGACCGATCTGCGAGTTCAGCACATGACACGCATGTGCGGGAATGTGCGTGCATGTGCATCCGCACGTGCGAGCATGTGCGGGCGCGGGGTTCAGCGCATGTGCGTGTATGTGCCATTGACTCATCTGCGACGTTCGCACAAGATCCGCATGTGCGGGCATGCGCGGGCATGTGTGTCGGCTTGCGCGGGCATGTGCGTTACAGTGCATGCAGCAAAACCCAATGCACATAATCCCGCACATGCCTGGGTACGTGCGAACAGTAGGACACTCATCCAACAACGCCCGCACATGCCGGGCACATGCCTGGAACATGCTGCGCACATGCACGCACATGCCCGCGCAAAAACGGCCGCACATACATCCACCCAGGGGTATAGAAGTGAGTGCGGTGTAATAGACAACATCACGGGGTAATTGACAAACATCACGGGGCAATTGACAAACAATCACGGCGTAGATCGACCCGACTCAGGGCATCCCGCGCAAGGAAGCGGGCGGGAGCTTCGACCGTGGTCATCATTCGACGTTTTGTGAGTCTTTCGCGACGGTCGAAGGAGCGAGATCACTCCCTCGAGAAACTGGAGCAGGGAGACTTGGGGAGGCTCTAAAGTTGTGAAGCTTCCGGGGCGATTCAGAACTATCTGGACGGCTTGTAAGGTCTCTGAAGTTATCGGAGGATTCAAACGATTTCTGGAGGCGTCCAGAGGTCATCGGAGATTTCTGGAGGTCAACGGATGTCTCCAGATGTTGGGAAGAGGACGGAGGGAAGTGGGGGAAGAGGAGGAAGGAGGACGGATGGGCGGGCAGGGACCTAGAAGGAGACAGGGGGGAGCGGATCGGAGAGGAAGTCCCAGGCGAGAGCGCAATTCCTTATCTGTCGAGAGCGCGATCCTTCAATGGTCAGGAAGTCCCAGACGAGGGCGCAGTTCTTGAGAGTGCGATTAGAGAAAAAGCATCAAACAACCAACACACAACACACACACACACAACCACCATAATAATCTCTCGAGTAATTGTGAACCGTTTATGCTGCAGCTGCACCGGCACAGATTCATCAGGAGGGCTCTTCTGGACAACGAAGCAAAAACTGGAGCCGAAGTGGGCACCTCGGCTGAGACAAAAACAGGGCGCACCATACAGTGGGGCATCAACAGTAGTCAATGCACAGAGTCTGGGCTTGCCCCGTCTCTACCGATGACCACGCTGGGGAGGCCTAAGACCTCTGAAAGAGACCTCAGAACCCTTAGGAGAGGCCCCAGATTCCATGGGACGGACCCCAGAGCCTGTGAGAGAGGCTTCAGAGCTAAAATTGGAAAATATGGGGAACGGCTGGGAACAGGAACTCATGGAAACATGGGCACATATAAGAAATTCTTGAATTCGCAATGCTAGAAACTTCAGGGCCACCGGGCTCTGCGAGACTTAGAGGGCCGTCGGAAGACGCCTATGCGCCCCTGGGGCGGGTATCTTGGAGGAGGCCTCAGGGCATCAGTCAGAACCTCTGGGACACGCCTCGAAGCTTCTCGGCGAGCCTCAGAGCTGTCGTGGCAAGGGTCCCAAACCTAGCCCGAGAAGCCCCACGGCGTCTGGGAGAGGTTTCAAGGCCGCTGGGACAATTCAGGACTCTGGGTGAAGTTCCCAGGACTAACGAGCTGAACAGCTTCCCACGTGGGAGCTCCAAGCTGCCAGCGCCGAAGCGAGAGGCCACTCCTGAGCAAGGAAGTACCGAGCGCACGCGCTAGTGTTGCTGGGGGCTCAGTACTTGCGTCGAGAGATGAGCGCCACTCTTGGCTATGAAGCGAGGATGTACCGAGCGGGAACGTCGTTTGGGTTGGAAGGCTGGTCTCTGGCGTCGAACCAGCAGCACCGCTCCTGCGTAAAGGCCTAGGGGGTGCCGATCATCGGCGCTCTTGTTGTGGCAAGAGCAGTCTCTGGCGCCGAGGCGAGAGCGCCACTCCTGGCCGAATTCGCCTGGTGACAGGCCCAACCATATGCAGGCGCGGGCACCGCAAGGCAGGTAGGAATAAGGAAGGGAGCGAGCAACAGGACGGGGGCGCGCATGAGAAGGACGAGGACACTGTCGCTGACGGGGCCACGTAGGTCTACCATAGCGGAATATACGTGGATGTACAATAGGAGCTCGACCACAAGAAACCCTTCACAAGAAGCCCAGCCCTGAGACCCCAAGACGTCAACTGATTCTTGGTGTGGGAGCGTCACGCTTTCCACGGCAAAACCATCGAAACCCAAGAAGCCTAGGGCACCCTGGAGACAAGCAGGGTGCTTATTGACATGCGCTTCCACAATACATCTGAGTGTAACCCGTTACGCGCGTGCAGGTGCGGCCACGGGGAGCAGAAGGCACGCGAGGAGGATGAGGGATGACGATGCTGTCGCTGCGCGCGACGGAACCGAGGGGGGCTGCTGATGCCCTCGCTGCTGCTGCTCCGATCGAGATGCAAGCTATCAGTCGGGACGTTGTCACGGGGTTCTGATTGTGGCGCTGACTGATGGTGTTAGCGCTGGTGCAGGTTCAAGTGCCAATGCTGGTATCAGCGGTGGTGATCCTAAAGCTGGTAGAAGTGTGCAACTTCGACTCCCAACATCGTCGACGATGAACGCTCCAGATGCGTTCCCCTGCCGCCTGAGGACTTGGCTGAGCGCAGCGCTCTTTCTTAGTGAACGGTTCTTCGAAAAAAGGCTGCTATTGAGCCTAGAACATAGCGGCAAGGCCATATAGCAAAGCAATGCGTGCAAAAATCGCGCATCGCTTGCACATGCCGTGCAACAATACATGACACCTAGAATTCGCCGGCCCAACGGGCCAGAGGCGTGTTAAGATCTCCGGTAACTGCTTAACAATATTTCTAATTCGCGCGCGCGGGCCGGCCCCTGGGGGACCTTGGACGAGAAGTACCCTGGCCAAGTCCCGGTCCACTCCTGGGCCACTCCCGGGCGATCCCCCCGGAACGCCCCGAGGGAGGGGTATTTTTCGACACCCCTCACGAGGAGCGGAGCCTCCGAGGGGGGAGCCGCAATCGACTACCTCCCCCTCCCGCCCCAAGAGGCCCCAAAGAGCCCCCCAAGAGGCCCCAAGGGACCCCAAGACGCCGCCAAGAAGCCCCAAGAGGCCCCCAAGAGGCACCAAAGAGCGCTCCAGGGCCGGCGGGATGAGCGAAGCGATTAAATGATCAAAGCACACTTGGTCTACAATAACCTCATCAAGCCATTAAGGACCCCCCTGGGGTTATCATTAGCACCGCACCGTAATAAAATAATGATGGGGGGCGGTTTTCGCAGAACGATATGATTAGCACCGCGCAAATGGTACGAAAATGAAGAATTCCCGCGCCCCGGCTCGAGTGGCATCCCAATTGGAATTGGAATTGGAATAAGAATAAGAATAAGAGAGAAATGCGAGTAATGATAAAAATAATAATCTTAGTAAGAATAAGGTTAAGAGTAAGAGTAAGAATACGAATAGTAGCAATAATATTAATAAAAATGATAGTAATCATAATCAGAAAAAAGAGTAAGCATCATGATGAGAGCTTTTCTCATTATCTTCAACATCCTTGTCCTATGCGACTTGTATGACCACCCCTATGAAAAAGTTGGTGGGGTAGTGCATCCGAGGATATCGCCCCCGCCACGCACGGCGCGTTATCTTAGCACCACACCCGCACAACATAAGTACGACAGCTTGTCAAAAAAAGACAAGAAGTACAATAAGCCCAATTATAATAGGAAACACATAATAGTGAGACATATAATGATACGGATGAGTGTAAGGATGATAATAAAAACTTCCGAAACAAACGAGCTCCCCTGTTTCTTCCCTCCCTCTCTCATCTTTCTCATTTTCTTCATCAGCCTTGTCCTATACGATTCTGATCACCACCCCTGTTGGAAACACCTTTTTTCCCGGCCGTCGTGTGTGGTAGTGCATCCGAGGATATCGCCCCCGCCACGCACGGCGCGTTATCTTAGTACCCGCACCGCCCAAATTACTCGCCCCCCATCGTAGGCACGGACGGTTCCTTTTCAAGGCTGGGCTCTCCCTTGCTGGGGCGGCCCTGCTCGGAAGGCCGAGCGCTGGGAAGACGCGCGGTCACTCCAGTTCTCGCCCAGATCGACCACCTGACGCAGACTCGTCTGCGTCCAGAGCAGTTTCTGAGGATGTCTCAGGCGAGGCGCTTGTTTCAGAACCACAAGGAGACTAGATTGCGAGAATGTCTCAGGCGGTTTGCTTATTTCGGCGAGCGGACTCGTCTGCGTTCACATAAAGGTGCGAGATGCCGGGGTAACGCTTCTGGGGTGCCCGGCGCGTTATACTTTCGCCAGAGAGGGGGGGCTCTTGATTGCCGGATGAGGTTACCCATGTCCACATAAGCGATCATTCACCCTACATAGGACATACACAGCTCCCACGATTGCTCTATCTCTCTATATCTAGATAGATGTTTGTCCTCTCTCTCTCGCGCTCTCCCTGTCTCTCTCTCTCTTTCTCTCGCTCTCTGCGCTACTCCCTCGCTCTCTTCATCTCCCTCTCTCTCTCTCTCGTTGTGCGCTAAGAAGCCTAACGCATTGCAGATAACACAAACCTCAAATTCCATGCACATGCGCGTAGATCCCCCAACGTTGCCCGTCCAATACTGCACTTCGCTGCATTCGTTCAAATCGCACGACTGTTACCACTCTCATGATTCCCTTCGTGGACGACTCATTAGCCACATGCACCCATTATACCTCTTTGCTTCCATTGCTTGACTGCCATCGCCGCACCAGACGCCCAGCGCTGCGGGCATGCACCAAACACAGCTGCATCGATCGAACGTGCAAGGTCGCCCTGACACAACACCTAACCATCCTCAGGATGCCTGGCCCTAGGGTCAGGTCGAGGAAAGGGTTGCACTACCCAAGACCCACATGTCGCTCACGATCCACTACTGGATGCACGGCCCGGCTCATGAACCACACAAACCACCAAGCTGCAAAGACCGGGTCCAATTCCGTGGAATGCACGCAGATATAGGCGAGAACTCCGGGCGGGAGCTTTACCTGTGCGGCTGATGGAGTGGGAACTTCACCCGTCCTGGACCAAAACAAACATGTTGGTCGATTGGGGCAGGTGCTGGAACCAAGCAAGTTGAATTGCAAGTTGGCCTTACGTTGGACTCGCGCAGTGCGATAGCAGCAGGAAGACCGAATCAAGAGTGCGAGACGGTCTGAAAAAACAACAGCACCACCTACGATGCGGGAGACTATTTTTAATTCCCTACCTAGGCTCTGCCTAGAAGGGTTCTTACTCTCTTAGCTTAAAGGGGCCGGGCAATGGAAATCGCCCCGGGCGGTTCCCCCAGTCCCCGCCCCGCGGTTCCCCCAGTTACGTCCCCGTAACTTAGCGTTGCTTATCTCATCCTAGCTTAGCTTAGCTTAGCTTTGCTCAGCGTAGCTTAGTTTAGCTTAACTTAGATCAGCTTATCTCATCTTAGCTTAGCTTATTTCATCTTAGCTTAGCTTAGCTGAGCCTAGCTTACCTTACCTTAGCTTAACTGAGCCTATCTCATCTTAGCTTAGCTTAGCCTAGCTTAGCTTAGCCTAGCCTAGCTTAGCTTAGCTTAGCTTAGCTTAGCCTAGCTTTGCCTAGCTTAGCTTAGCTTAGCTTAGCTCATCTTAGCTGAGCTTACCTTAGCTTAGCTTAGCTTCGCTTCGCTTAGCTTAGCCTATATCATCTTATATTAGCTTAACTTGGCCTAGCCTAGCCTAGCCTAGCTTAGCTTAGCTTATCTCATCTCATCTCATCTTAGCTTTGCTCATCTTAGCTTAGCTATCTCATCTTAGCTTAGCTTAGCTTAGCATATGTTGCTTTCCTAAGAGCTCCAACTCCTAGGTAGGGCTACGTCGTTGTCGTCATCGTCGTCGTCGTCGCCGCCCAAGCCCACAGCGCCTGTGCACACAGCACAGGGTCTGTACAATGCCTTTGTGCACCAAGGCTGCTACAGAAATCGTATGTGTGTGCACCACGGCGACCGTGTACATCATAGCAACCGCGTGCACCACGACGCCTTTGTACATCGCGCGATCTGTGCACATCACGGCGCCTGCGTGCACCACAGCCAATGTTTCAGCACCCCCTGTGCACCACAGCGCCTGCGCACACCGCAAAGTTCGTGTACGCCGGAATGCAATACCGACGGGGCCAAGCTCTGGATAATCGTCGAGGGCCCGAACGTAGCACATTCAATATCTGAATTAATTGTGATTATTTGTTTTTTCTGGCCCCAGGAGAACACATTCCTTGATACACACAACACAACAACGCCGATGTACACCACAGCGGCCGTCTGCACCGCAACGCCTGTGGTTATTGACAGCACAGCTGTTGTTTCAGCACCCCTCCGCGTGCACCACACTGCCTGCGTGTACCACAAAGTTTGGGTACACCTCCACGGTCCCGACGGCACCAAAGTCAGTGAAAATGCTGGGGGCCCGAATGTATCATATCCAATATCATGATCTGATTGTGATTATTGTTTCTTTCTGGCCCGAAGAACGCTTGCACATTTTGAGCCCACAACGAATGTGAAACACAACGCCTGTTTGCACGGAAATGAAGAAGGAAGAGGAACAAACAAATGCGAAGGTATGCATGGGCCCATTACAAACCGTTTTGGGGGGAATCGGCGATAACACGGGTTATCCCGGGAGGGGGGGGCAGGAGGGGCCGACCGATAACCTAACGTTCGCGCTGTGGGCAGCCCTGCAAATGCCCGCGCGCACCGGTGCTGCGGCCCCTACAGCTGCTAACGATGCTGCCGCGATGCTACTATTGGTGCTGCGACGATGCGGGCGCCGTCTGAAAATGCCTAAGGATGTTTGGACAGTTCGCATTGGAATACGCGCGATGCGGTTGCTAAGCGTAGCCGCGAAGACTTGTGCACACTAGCTATAGAACATGCGTGCACCACACTGCCTGTGGGTACTACAAAACGTGCGTGCGCCACAACGGTCTTGCACACCACAAGTGCTGCTGCAGCAGAGGCTTCTGCGTGCACCACAACGCCTGTGTACACTGCGGTGCTTGAGCACACCACAGGAGCCGCGTGCACCACCGTGCACGGCGAACATTTGCGCCACAGCGCTTCCGTGCACCTCCCAGGTCTCGCAGGGGCCCAAATCTGGAAAACCCCCGGGGGCCCGGCCCGAATGAATCAAATCCAATGTGTAGGTTATTCGTGATTATTGATTTTTGTTGGGCCAGGGTGCGGTTCCCCGTTTTTGGCCGACCATGTTTGTGTACACCACAGCGCCTGTCTAGCGTGCGCCAACACACCTTTGTACACCACAGCTGCTTGTGTACACCGCAGCGCCTGTTTACACAACAATGTCTGTGTACACCACAATGCCAATGTACACTACAGCAGCCGTGTGCACCGCATCGCCTGTGTACACACCACACACACGACGAAGCCTATGTGCACCACGTTTGCTGCTACAGTACCATACTCGTGCACCAATGTGCTTGTGTACACCACAGAACACTTCCAGGGCCCCCCGGCGGGACCGAACTCCAGAAAACCGCAGGGGATCCGAACGTATCAAATCCAATATGTAACCTATGTGTGATTATTCATTTTCTTGCGCAGGGAACGGTCCCGTCTTTTGGGCCCACAACGCATGTGTACACCATAGCGAATGTGTGCACAACAACG